TTTGTTTCTTAATAATTTCTTTATATTATTATTTTGTTTTAGGAAAAATTAAATATTTTGAGAAACCACGTCAAATTTATACATTTAATTAAAGGTACTGCCTTTGGGCAGGCGCGGTAGGGTGCTAACACCTTCCTTACGCGTAACCGATTCCCGAACCTAAAATCTAGTTTTCNGTTTTTTTTAAATCATAAATTTATTTAATAAGTACTCGTCAACCTGTGACTGGTTTCTTTCCTTTTTCCCACCATTTTCAAAATAAAAGAATTTCTTCAGAATAAAAAAAACGATGTGAATCCTAATCGAGTTCACTTTTCAATAATCCATAATAATTTTCAAACAAACTCACAAACCTTTTTTCTAGATAAAGAACTACGTGATCCCTGATTGTCCATCATAAATGAATATACGTAGGAGCAAGGTCAATACTTGTCGGGTTCATAAAACAAAAAATATTTTTTGTTTCTTAATAATTTCTTTATATTATTATTTTGTTTTAGGAAAAATTAAATATTTTGAGAAACCACGTCAAATTTATACATTTAATTAAAGGTACTGCCTTTGGGCAGGCGCGGTAGGGTGCTAACACCTTCCTTACGCGTAACCGATTCCCGAACCTAAAATCTAGTTTTCGTAGACCATGTCTTATTTTATGGTTTTCCATAGTTTTTCCATAATAACTTATGGCGGTGACTCCCAAAATATTTTCTTAAACCCGTTTGTTTTTGGTTCACCGTCCCGTCATGATTCCGGTTGCGACAATTTCCTCTGGAGTTTGGCAATTAATATTACCTCCAGCTGAGGCATCTAGCATCAACTTGGTTTGTGAACCAAAACCTCCAAGGAAACGAATGACTACAGTTGCTTCGTTAAAGCCATGAGTGGGCGTCTTTCTCAACAAGCTCTTGTATCTATCCCAGGCTTGACCTAGCTTCTCCTCCATGCCTTGTCTAAAAGAAGAAATCTCTTGCTTCCCTTTGTTGATTTTAGATTGTGGGAAGTACTTGTTTAAGAACTTTGAAACCACAACTTCCCATTCAGTAAAACTTTCCTATGGAAAAGAATTCAACCATAACTTAGCATTGACTCCCAATGAGAAAGGAAACAAATTAAGCTTTATTGCTTCATTCGGCACACCATTGATCTTTATAGTGTTGCAAATCTCATTGAATGTGGTGAGATGCTCATATGGACTTTCATGTGATAGACCATTAAATTGGTTGCTCTTGACCAATTGTATCAATGCCGGTTTCACCTCCATGTTTGCAGCATTGACCCTCGACCTAGCAATGTTATTAAAGTAATGAGGGCCAACAACAGTTGTGTAATCCGCCAGAGTAAGTCTAACATTGTTTTCTTCAGCCATCTCTTTAGTACTCTAGTTAGATCTTTGTGGTGAGGGTCGTAGAAGTGTTTCCGGAGAAGGCAATAATTCTCTAGAAGTTCGGATCCTCCTTCTCCTTCTACTTTCGTCCAATCCTTCAAGAAGAGGTTCCGAAGTTTTCTCTCTCCTAGTCTGAATTGTATCCTACATACACAAGAACACAAAACCCTAGAAACAATTGTTAGCACAAAAAGATAAAAAAGATAAATTAAAAAGATAGAAAGATAAACAAAAAGATAACAAGATAAAAATCAAGTCAAAATTAATCAATAATCACACAAATAGAATAGTTAAACCACGAGTCCCCAGCAACGGCGCCAAAAACATGTTAACCCTCGGCAAGTGTAACCGAATCCTATCAAGTAATAATAAAATGGTAAGACCAAGTATCATTTCCCAAAGAACTCACGACCTAAACAGTTATGTGATTTGTTGATTAAATTAGACTTGTGAACGAATTCTTGTAGATTTAAATGCAAATACTAAAAAGTAAATATGAATGCATGTATTGATCAATTGGATCAAAAGAAGCAAAAGTGATTGATGTAAATTATGGAATGCTGATGTTGTTGGGGTTTTCAATTCATCCTATCCACTCTCATGTATTCAAGAATTCATCTTCTTCATTAATGTTAATGCCGCTTTCTAATTTACCTTAAACCCGATGTCTCGGTGAAGAAAGCCTACTCCTAATCACTAGTTTAGAATGTCTTGTCTCCCTAGCAATTATTCATGCATTACATTCGCACAGAAGCTTAAAGGCAATCAATCCTCCTATCACTATGTCTAGGCAATATTACTAACAAGAGAATTTCAACAAATCTAGATTTAACAATATGTGTCCATAAAAAAAAAATAAATAATCATGCAATTGAATGAGTTAAACAAACCATGCATAGAGTATAAAAGAAAAACCCTAACAATTAATGAAAGAAAGCATATGGATTAAAGAACCAATTCATTACATGAGAGTTTCAAAGGATTACATTGATTCCCCAACAAAAATGAAGGTTTAGTTCACCATAATCATGGTGAAACTAGATGAAAAATAATGAAAGAATGAAAGATAGAACCCTAGAATTTGAAGAGTGGAGCTTGAGCATCCAAAATCCTCCTTTAAGGGGTGAAGAAAGTGTGATTTTGCTTCGTTCTGCCAAAAGATATTAACCCTAAGTCGACTAAAACCTTATATAGCTTCCTAAAGATTACAGAAGAATGGCCCAAGGACCATTAAAATGGCGCTCAGCGGTAGGTGCGGTTCTTCTATTTGACGCTCAACTGCAATTTTGCCCCTCAGCGGTGACTGCGGGACTTCAGAGTGTCACTCAACAGTAAAAGTGGCGTTCAGCGGTACTTGCGGCTCTTCTTTAATGCACTTTTTCTTCCTTTTCTGAGTCCAACTTCTGGCTACTTCACTTCTTCCATTCAATTCATCTTAAAACCTGCAAAAACAAGGAAAACCAAGCATAAAACCATCCAACTCTCTTATTTCCAAAACATAAGCAAAAGCATGATTACAAACTAGTTTCTAAGTTATAAAGATTGTCTTTAAGGTCAAAATTAAGTCTAAAAATAACAGTTTTTCAACTGTTATCAATGGTAACAATTGTTTCTAGGGTCTTGTTTTCTTGTGTATGTAGGATACAAATCGAACTAGGAGCAAGAAGATTTCAAAACCTCTTCTTGAAGGATTGGACGAGAGTAGAAGGAGAAGGAGAATCCGAACATCTAGAGAATTATTTTCTTCTCTGGAGATACTCCTACAACCCTCACCACAAAGGTCTGAACAAAGCACTGAAGAGATGACTGAAGAGAACAATGGTAGACGTACTCTGGCGGATTACACCAATGTTGTTGGCTCTCATCACTTTAATAACATTGCTAAGCCGAGGGTAAATGCTGCAAACATGGAGGTGAAACCGACATTGATACAATTGGTGAAGAGCAAACAATTTAATGGAATATCACATGAAAGTCCATATGAGCATCTAACCACATTCAAAGAGATTTGCAACACTATAAAGATCAATGGTGTGACGGATGAAGCAATAAAACTTAGTTTGTTTCCTTTCTCATTGGGAGGCAATGCTAAGCTATGGTTGAATTCCTTTACCAGAGGATAGCTTTACTGAATGGGAAGTCGTGGTTTCAAAGTTTCTAAACAAGTACTTTCCACAATCCAAAATCAACAAAGGGAAGCAAGAAATTTCCTCTTTCAGGCGAGCTATGGACGAGACGTTAGGTCAAGCGTGGGATAGATACAAGAGTTTGTTGAGAAATACACCCACACATGGCTTTGATGAAGCAACAATAGTTCTTCTTTTCCTTGGAGGTCTTGGTTCATAAACAAAATTGATGCTAGATGCCTCAACTGGAGATAATATCAAATGCAAGACTCTAGAGGAAGCGTTTGAATTGATAGACAACATGGTTACTAATGACAACCAAATGCATAGTGAAAGAGGATCTCCACCACAACAGAAGGGAGTCTTACAATTGCAATCTCCTGATGCCTTGCTTGCAAAAAATAAAATTATAATTCAATAGTTGAAGAATTTGACAAAGACACTCTCTTAGTTGCCAAAGGAGTTGAAAAACGTTTCACAGGTTCAACAACAAGTATGTGAACTATGTGGTGGTGATCATATCAATGGTCAATGTGCTTTTCCATTGGAGGCCTTAGAAGATGTCAATTATATGGGCAATCAATTCCAATACTGCCAAGGAAATTTCAGCCAAGGGTGGAAACCTCACCCAAGCATGGGTCAAGGTCAAAATCGACAAGCTGGACAAGCAGGACAATTTAATAGACCACAACATCAACCATCACTATGGCAACAAGTATCTACGCTAAATGAGAGATCAACAAAGTTAGAAGACACTCTTCAACAATTTATGCAGGTGACTATCTCCAACCATAAAAGCATTGAAGCTTCCATTAGAATTTTGGAGATACAAGTTGGCCAATTGCTAAGAAGTTGGAGTAGATGCCTGACCGGAGTTTTGGAGCTAATACTGAAGCTAACTCTAAGGAGGAGTGCAATGCCATTATGACTAGAAGTGGCAAGATTTTAGATGAGAGAAAAGATGAGAGAAAAGAGAAAGTTGAGTCAATAAAAAAAAGAAGAGAATGAGGAGAGAAGAGGTGAGGTTGAGAGAAAATAAAAAGAGAAAAAAGAGGAAGAGAGAAAAGAAAAGAAGAGAAAAGAAAAGGAGAGAGAAGAGAGAAAAAAAGAAAAAGATGTTGAAAAACCTCTTCCTTATCCAAAGACTTATTCAAGGAAGGAGAAAGAAAAACAGCTTGAGCAGTTCATGGAGACTTTTAAGAAATTGGAGATCACCATACCTTTCTCTGAAGCATTGCAACAAATGCCTTCGTATGCAAAGTTTTCGAAGGAGCTCCTCACGAAGAAGAAATATCTAGATGAGGAAACAATTGAAGTGCAAGGTAATTGCAATGCCATATTGCAGAAGACGCTACCTCCCATATTCAAAGATCTGGGGAGTTTCACCATCCCTTGCACCATTGGGAATCATGGTATAAGGAAGGTTCTAGTTGACTTANTATCCAAAGACTTATTCAAGGAAGGAGAAAGAAAAACAGCTTGAGCAGTTCATGGAGACTTTTAAGAAATTGGAGATCACCATACCTTTCTCTGAAGCATTGCAACAAATGCCTTCGTATGCAAAGTTTTCGAAGGAGCTCCTCACGAAGAAGAAATATCTAGATGAGGAAACAATTGAAGTGCAAGGTAATTGCAATGCCATATTGCAGAAGACGCTACCTCCCATATTCAAAGATCTGGGGAGTTTCACCATCCCTTGCACCATTGGGAATCATGGTATAAGGAAGGTTCTAGTTGACTTAGGAGCTAGTATCAATCTAATGCCCTTATTTATGCTTAAGAAGATTTGTGGTCTGGAGGTCAAACCTACAAAAGCAATCTTGCAAATGGCAGACGGGTCCATTAAGCATCCTTATGGTGTGGTAGAAGACTTGGTGGTAAAAATTGATAAGCTCCAATTCCCTGTTGATTTTGTTGTAATGGATATGGGGGAAGATGTAGAGATGCCCCTCATTCTTGGAAGACCCTTTATGAAGACAACCAAAGTTGTCATTCATGTGGATGAGGGAACTATGAAATTGAAAGACCAAGATGAAGAGGTAACTTTTAATGTCTTTGATAAGGTGCAGCCAATACAAGTAACAAAGACCAGTCCTAAAGCTAAAGACGAAGTTCTCTCAGTGACTAGTCTACTTGATAAAGCTGCCTAGTCGGTTAAAAGGAATCATAGTGGTTGCTTTCCAAGGTTGAAGGAATATGATGGAGATAAGGAAGAAAAACTCGTTCACCATGCTTTGTGATGGAAAATAATGAACCCTACCTTGGCAAACCAGTGAAATTCAAGAACAGGTTATGGGTTATCAAGGATATAAAGGCAAATGGAGTTCTAGAGATTGCGGCTCCTTACTCTAGAAGAGTCAAGTTGGTGAAAAGAAAGATGCTGAAATTATGTTGGTGTCATGAAAGGAAGAAGCACATCAACATTGAAAATCAAACTTAAGCTTTATTGGGTCAAGCTAGTGACGTTAAAGAAGCACTGATTGGGAGGTAACCCAGCTTTCTAAACCTATCTTTTTAATTTGTGTTTGTTTTTCTATTTTTAGTATAGGATTTGATGTACTTGGCTTGAAATTTTATCTGTGTGCAATGGTTTGTTGATGCTATGATGTTTGTGATGAGTATTGCTCTATGATGTTGATTATATTGATTGATGTTGAGATGATGCATGATGCTGCTATACAGGTGGTTGCTCATAATATTGTGAGACAAATGCATGATGATTTTTTATTGTTTTACTGAACAGGATGTTTATCTAAATGCTGGAATTTGAGTTAGCTTTTGAGAGGTTTTGAACCCTAGAGTTTTTGTGAATGATTTCTATTACTTTGAAAGCATGAATGACTTTGCCTAGCTTTCTGTGATTGAATCAATTGCTTGCATGTGTCTGATAACAGTTGAAAAATTGTTATTTTCATGCTTAAAATTGATACTAAAAGCAACCTTTAACACTTAGAAACTAGCTTGAAATCATACTTTTGGTTATATTTTTAGAAATAAGAGAGCTGGACAGGTTTATGCTTGATTTCAGTGTTTATGTGCAGGTTTTAAGATGAATTTGGTGAAAGAAGTGAAGAAGGATAGAGATGGAATCAGAAAAGACATTAAAAAGTGCAAAAGAAGAAGCCGCAAGTACCGCTCAGCGGCAGTTTACCGCTGAGCAGCACTCAGAAACCCACGTTGGCTCCGCTGAGGGGTGAAAAGGCCGCTGAGGGGAGAAAAACAACTCACGGACTTACCACTGAGCAGTAGTTTACCGTTGAGCGGCACTATTTTGGGCCTAATTTTCTGTAATTTTAGAATAGTATATAAGCTTTAGGACGTCCTAGGGTTTGTATCTTTGGCTGAGACGAAGCAAACACTCTCTTTTCTACCCCTTGAAGGAAGATCTTGGATGCTCAGGCTACCTCCTCCTCTTTCTAGGGTTCTATCTTTCATTCTTTCATTATTGTTCATCTAGTTTCACCATGAATATGGTGAACTAAACCTTGTATTGTTGTTGGGGAATCAATGTAGCTTTGTGAAACTCTCATATATGGAATTTGTTTTAACGTCTTATATTAAGATATATGCTTTCTTTCATATTTAGTTAGGGTTTTTCCTCTTTGCTTATTGCTTGCTTTGTTTAACTCATTCATTGCCATGATTATTGATTTTGTCGATACGGGAACGTACGGGGAAATCTAGATCCGGGGAATTTCTCCCAATAGCATATTGGTTGCCTTTAAGCTCCTGCACTTTAGAACTAATTACTAGGAATTCTAGGAATTGTATGAACTCGTAATTAAGGATAGGCCTTCTTGCAAGGTGATTTAGAGAGTGCATTAGCATTGATGAAAAAAAGGATGAATTCCTAAAAGTATATGAGAGTGGATAAGATGAAATTGATAACTCCAACAACATACTCATCCATCTAATTCATTGAAGTGTTTGTATTCTGTTTTTCTCCATTGATCAAATTCATGCATACATATTTAATTACTGTCTTTTGCGTTCAAACCTACATCCAATTTGCTCTAAAGTCTTAAATAATCAACAAATCATATAGCTAACTAGGTCGTGAGTCCTTTGGGAGAACGATACTTGGTCTTACCGAGTTTTATTACTTGATACGATTCGGTCACACTTGCCGATTGTTAAACAAGTTTGTGGCACCGTTTTTCGGTGTTCATAAATTTGTCATCAGTGTCATATGATCAAGGTAATCTTTTGTTATCCCTTTTTAGCCAATGCATGATTTTGGCCCAATAAAAGAGAGCACAATGTGTTTTATCCTTTGAACCTTTCACCTTGAACATGATTTGAAAACCCTTTTTGAAAATCCTTACCTTGAGTTAAGTTGAGAATATTTGTGGTATTGATAAAGGTTCAAGTTTGGGGTTGTTGGGACATTTGAAAAGGGAAAACAAATAAGCATTGAGCTAAGTGTTGAGCAAATGAAAAGAAAAAGAAAAAGGAAAGAAAAGATAGAAAAAGAAAAGCTCAATGCAAGGGAAAGTTGGGAATAAGTAAGAATGGTTGTGTTTAAATGATGAAAGTATGAATGACTGACTCTCTTAGCTCAAGGATTTTGTGATCCAAAAAAACCAATTTTCTTCTTTGCCCAGCCACATTATAAGCCATAGAAAATTCCTTGTGATGATGCTTGCTTGTGAGTGTGTTTGATTGTAGTTAAATGAAAGGCAAAGTTGATTCATGTGACATTGTGATAGTAGAGTGAATGAGTCACCTCTATATACACTTGTGTGTTTGAGAGAAACACTTTTCTTGGTAAGGAATAGTTCCATGTATGCATGATTTCATCTTTGCTTGGTTGATCATTCATGAGCATAGCATCTGTTGAATATTTTGTGATTATCTCAGCACCATAATGAGCTTAATTGAATCAAGGCATGTATTCATCTTGACTGATATTCTTTATGATAAGATAATTTGAGCAATTACTTATCTTAAAAGAAAAGGTTTTGAAATGTGTTGAATCATTGCATTGATTGGTTGAAAGCTAAGTTACATCTTGTTTGCTTGAGGACCCGCAAAGTTCTAAGTTGGGGGTTGTGATAACGGTTGAAATACCGTTATTTTTACACTTAATTTTGATAATAAATCAACCCTTTTTGACTTAAAACCTTGTTTTAACTCATGTTTTTTCTTTAGTTTTGTGAATAAGAGAGTTGAAGGTGAATTTAATGGTTTTGTGCTAGATTCCCTTGATTTTGTAGGCTATTGGAATGATTTGAAAGAAAAGTTAAAGTATCGAATGGTTGGAATGCAGAAAAGTCAACCAGAATGCAGAAAAGTCAACTAGAGTGTAGAAAAGTCAACTAAAATGCAGAAAAGTCAACTAGTCAACCAGAATGCAGAAAAGTCAACCAGTCAACTAGAGTGCAGAAAAAGTTGCGTTGAGCGCCAAAGTTGAGTTGAGCGCCAGTTTTAAGTGTTGCAGCTACCGCTGAGCGTCGACAACGTGGGCCTAAGCCAATTTTCTGTATTTTTAATAAACTATATAAGGGTTTAGTCGACCTAGGGTTGATATTTTTGGGCAGAAAGAGGCGAAATTAAACTCCTTTCACCCCTTGGAGGCGAATTTTGGATGCGGAAGCTCCGATCTTCAACTTTTAGGGTTCTACCTTTCATTCTTTTCATTATTTTCATCTAGTTCACCATTTCTATGGTGAACTAAACCTCCATTGTTGTTGGGGAAACAATGTAATCCTTTGAAACTCTCATGGATTGAATTGATTCTTGATTATATATGCTTTACTTCATTAATTGTTAGGGTTTTTCCTCTATACTCTATGCATGCTTTGTTTAACTCATTCAATTGAATGATTATTGGTTTTGTCACTATGGACACATATGAGAAAATCTAGAACTAGAGAAATTCTCCCGGAAGCAATATTACCTAGACATAGAAATAGGAGGATCGGTTGCCTTTAAGCTTCTGTGCAAATGTAATGCATGATTAATTGCTAGGGAGACAAGACATTGTGATGGAATCCTACTTGACTTAGTCTTCCTTTTGTATTTTTATCTTTTATAGTTTAGCTCTTAAGGAGCATGGGTTATTATAAATACCCAGCTCCTCTATTGTATTGGGACTTTTGAGCTTAATGAGAATTTAATTTTCTGAAATCAGAAACAATTCTCTCTTGAAAGTCAGGCTAGAAAGTCCAAAGACTCCCTCTAGCCACCTTCCAAGTACTTCTCTTCCTTTCATTTTCCAACTTTCACGGTGCTTCTCTCCTCCACGTTACATCCTTCGCTGCCACCTCTCCTCGGGCTTTTCATCTCACGCACAGAAACGCCACTTCATTTCTCATTTTCCCACTCGCGCATCCTCATACTCACATTTCCACTTCGAACGCTAGGGTTTCTCCCTTTCAAACGCATCATTATCACAGTAACCCTCTACTCCATTTCTCTCTTCACAGATTCATCTCTTCATCATCTATAAGCCTCATTCTCTTCACAGATTCCACATCATTTTCACCATTTTCTTCATTTTCTCTGAGTTTTGACCGATTAAACACCTCTCCAACCTTCGTTCTTCTCCTTTCCACCGTTTAAAACACCATTTCCACCGATTAATCGGTCAATTTAGTGATTCCTCACCGTTCTAGGGTTTCCTTCGTGTTTATAAGGATTTCCACCGATTAAACCTCGGTCTAGGGTTTTGTTGTGTTCGCTCTCGGTTTTCCTTAGATTTCGTTCGAGTCATTCTTCGATTTAGAGCTTCCTCTACTTTCCGCTGCGTCTTCACTCGTCGGAGAAGCTTCGAGGAGTCCGCGTCGCGCCTTTGGTCACTTCTCGGAGTCACTCGTCCATCAC